ATACTACATGTAAACTAAAATATGTAAATAATAAATAAAAACATAACCGTTCCGATACCCGTGATCACCCTCTGTATTTAGGAATATTATCAGTATATAATGAATCATTTGCACCGGTATTTAGAATTGCGTAAGGTATTATCAAGTCACCTATTCTACATGAAATCGTTGTTACATCATTAGGTTCTTTTATATCAAGAAAATCAATCTCAAAAGGGTTTGGCCAATTTTGTCTTATTTGTGCTCCTTGGTATACTTTAATAGCGTGATTTAATGTAATGGAATTGTCAAGTTTTTCTGATGGAGATATAAGCTCATAATCACGATTCATTTCTTTGTGACTCGAAGAGTTTGGAGTCTGGTCCTTAATAATTTCAATAAGTGGTTGGAAAATAGTTAGATATTTTTTCGCAATATTATCCCATACCTTATTTCTTTCTTTGACTGTATACTTTTCACCATAATATGAATCAAACTGATCCTTCATCTTTATAAACAGATTATTAAGAAATATACGAGCTTCAATGAGAATCTTCTTAGGACAATGAGGTATTAATTCGGATATCATATGTTTAAGAGATTCAAGAAATACTTCCTGTTCCAAAGTAACAATAGATTTCTTAGTAGGCTTTTTCTTTATAGGAATCCGATTTTTTTTTTTACATTGAAACAATTTTGTGGTTCATTATTAGATATGCTTTCTTCTTCCTCCCCCTCTTCTTCTTTGCTTTCGTCATTTTCCAATATCATCACCTCCTCATCATCTGAATTTTCTGGTTCGCTCTGATAAACATTATTAACCTTTTTAGGTTTCTTAACAAGACCAGGACACGTATTTTTTTTATGTCCAATTTTTTCGCAATTTGAGCATTTATAAGTAACTTTAATAGGCTTCTTTGCAAACTTCTTTGCTGGCTTCTTTGTATTATATACTTTTTTTGAAGTTTTGATACTTACTTCACTACTTGAACAAAAGGTTCTTTTTTGAAATTATAATTTGCACGTCCTAATCTGCTATATAATTCATCGTCGATAAATTATTTAAAGCGTCAGGATTTCGTGATGCTTCATCTGAGTAATCTAATCTTTCAACAATACTTTCTAAATAATCTTGTGCTTTATATGCCATGGCATTAGTTCTGCTATTATTATCTTTTTGTGATAAAGATTGATATGGGGTAGGAGATGAATTAGTTACAATAATAGATAAATTTCTATTTCCATTATATGTAAAAGTAGAAGGTTGATACTTAAGCCAGATATTTTTTAAATTGGTAAAGAACACATCTATATCTGCTGGAGCTGTATTTTCCATTCTTGAAAAAAGCTCATCTGATAAATGATTCCATAAGATTGTCAATGCTTCAACATTATTATTTGGTGTTTGCTATAATAAAAGTCGAATTCTTTCTTCATAAGTTTCTGGAATATCTGTAGGTAAGAATTTTTCTTGCGTTAATTTTGTTAAAGAAGCTTGCCTTGTTCTTACAGTTAATTCGTGATATTTATGCCTAAGCCAAGCTCTGAAACAGTCTGGAGTATCAATATTAGTAACAACAGGATGTTGAGCTGGAACTGGAACATATTTTCTTGCCATTTTCAATTTATAGATATCTGCCTTATGTGCATCAGTAAAAGTATTAGCATTTGCATGATTGGCATCAATTATCATTGTATCAGCAAAAGAAATTGCTTGTTGAATCTTATTACAATAGTCATTCAGTGGTTCTTGTCCTATGTAATTAGGAATATGTGCAAGACTTGTTTGAATAGTTTGATATATATGTTGTCTAGAAGTGGTGGCCATATTGAGGGAATTTGCTAATGGGTTATTTTGTAAATTAATAATTGTTTGCTGGATGTCATGGGTTTTATTTTTCCACTTTTGATATCTGACTATAAGTTGGTCACACCAATATTCTAATATAGCCCCATTAGCATGACATTCTTGTAAACCACTTTTGGCTTGATATGCTCTATTTCTATAAATAGTATATCGTCGATAAATCCATTGAAAATTATTTAAGGCTCTGCATCTGG